ATATATATATATATATATATATATATATATATATATATATATATATACATACCTTTATTTTACCAGGAAGAAATGCATTGAGATCATCAATCTCTTTTACAAGGATGTCCTGGACATCCTGTGGGGGGTGCTCCATGAGTATGGGACAGGGGCCCATTGCTACGGGCTGTTCAGTCTCTATACAAGTGGTGCGAGAGCTTGGTTCGCATTGTCGGCAGTAAGTCGGACCCCTTCAGGGTGGGAGTTGGACTCCGCCAAGGCTGCCTGTTGCCACCAATTCTGTTCATAACATTTATGGACAGAATTTCTTGGTGCATACAGTGGGCAGAAAGTTTTCAGTTCGGTGGACTCAGAATTCCATCTCTGCTCTTTGCAGATGATGTGGTCCTGTTGGCGTTATCGTGCCGTGATCTTCAGCTCTCACTGGAGCTGTTCACAGCCGACTATTAAGCATCTGGGATGAGAATCAGCACCTCCAAATCTGAGGCCATGGTCCTCAACCGGAAAAGAGTGGATTGCTCTCTCCAGATTGAAGGTGAGATTCTACCTCAAGTGGAGGAGTTAAAGTATCTCAGAGTTTTGTTCACGAGTGAGGGATGAATGGAGTGTGAGATTGACAGATGGATTGGTTCAGCGTCTGCAGTATTGCGGACTCTGTACCAGTCTGTTGTGGTGAAGAGAGAGCTGAGCTGTAAGGCAAAACTCTCTGTTTACATGTCGGTCTACGTTCCTACCCTGACCTATCGTCATGAACTCTGGGTAGTGACCGAAAGAATAAGATCGTGGATACAGGCGGTTGAAATGAGTTTCTTCCGCAGGGTAGCTGGACTCTCCCTTAGAGATAGGGTGAGAAGTTTGGTTTTCCGGGAGAGACTCGGAGTAGAACCGCTGCTCCTCCACATCGAGAGGAGCCAGTTGAGGTTGTTCGGGCATCTGCTAAGGATGCCCTCTGGACGCCTCCCTAGGGAGGTGCTTTGGGCATGTTCGACTGGGAGGAGACCCCGGGGGAGACCCAGGACACTCTGGAGAGACTATGTCTCTCTGTTGGCCTGGGAATGCCTTGGAATCCTCCCAGAAGAGCTGGAAGAAGTGGATGTGGAAAGAAATGTATGGGCTTCTCTGCTCA